GTCGTTGGTGAACTTTATCTTAAATGTAAACGGTATAATAAATGATACAACATTAAGTTTGTAGTAGTTGATATAAATCACGGTATGTTATTGTCAGCTAAAGCTAGTAAAGAGTTAGGTTTAGTGAAATATTGTAATGAAGTAAAAATTGAATGTAACAATTTGTTCAAATTAAAGCAACAGGCTCAAAATATAGTAGAAGATTATGAAGATATTTTCAAAGGATATGGATCTCTACCAGGGGATGTAGAAATAGAGCTGGAGGAAGTGGCAAGACCAGTGAGGTAACCACCAAGAAGAGTTCCAACAGCATTAAGAAAAGATTTAAAAGAAGAATTGATACATTTGGAGAAAGAAGGTATAATTACCAAAGAAGATCATAACACAGATTGGGTGAGTAACATTTTATTAGTAAAGAAGGAAAAGACATTCAGAATGTTGGACCCGATTCCATTGAATAAAGTCATGAAAAGACCACATTGTCAATTCACTATGGTTGATGAAGTATTGCCAGAGTTGGGTAAAGCCAAAGTTTTTTCAACAGTAGACACAAAGAAGGGTTTTTGGCAAGTCAAATTATCGGAATCTAGTAGTAAATTAACAACATTTTGGACACCTTTTGAAAAGTATAGGTGGAAAAGGATGCCATTTGGTATAACATCGGCACCTCAAAATTTTTCAAGTAAAAATACAAAATATGTTACATGACTTAAAAGGCATTGAGGTTTTGGCGGATGATATTCTTATTTACGAATCAGGTAACACAGAGGAAGAAGCATATGTAGATCATAATAGAAATTTAGACAAAAAGAAATTACAATTGTGTAAACAGTCAGTAAATTTTTATGGTCTATTGTCTTGTGATGGCTTAAAGGTAGATCAGGAAAAGGTCGATGCCATAAAGAAATTTCCAGTTCAGAATGATAAGGGAGGATTATTAAGATTTATCGGTATGGTCACTTATCTAAGTCGATATATAAAGAATCTTAGCAGTGAATTATTTATTTTGAGACAATTAACGCACAATAATGTGGATTTTAAATGGTCTGGTCAGGAACAATTAGATTTTGATAAAATTAAAGATATTGCTTCAAATATTCAACCTTTAAAATGTTACAAAGTCGGAAAGAAAATCGGAAAGAAATTATGCCCAAATCGAAAAAGAACTGTTAGCAATAGTGTTCGGTTGTACAAGATTCGACCAAATGTTAGTTGGAAATAGAGTAACAGTAAAAACCGATCACAAACCTTTATTGCGGATACTTGAGAAACCATTATTAAATGCACCAAAACGATTACAACAAATGTTAATGACACTTCAAAGATATAACATTGAATTAGAATATGTCACAGGAAAGAATAAAGTAGTAGCCGACACATTGTCTTGTGCTCCATTAAACGATAGTTATTATAATGAAATACCGAAGCTCAAAAGAATCAATATTTTCAAAGTATTTGAAAAAGTGAAAAGTGCGACATATTTACAGGTTACCGAACAGAAACTTAAAATAATTGATGAGGAAACATTGAAAGACAAAACTTTACAAAAAAATGATAACATTTATTATAGATGGTTGGCCATCTGCACTGAAAAACATTCCTGAAGACATAAAAATATATAATCAGTACAAACACGAAATATCAGTGCAAGATGGAAATTTATTCAAAAATGATAGAATAATAATACAAATGAAACCTGAACAGTCAACAGTATGGACAAAAGGAAAAATTGATGAAAAACTGAATGATAATACATGTATAGTTAATGTGGAAGGAACACTGTATAGAAGAAATACATATTAGACCACATAATAGCGAGATTAACAAAAATGAGACATTAATGCCTGAAATACCTAATCAACTAAAGGAAGAATAATGAAAAGAGAACGGAAACAGAGAAAACGGAAGTGAATACTGAACGAATTCAAAAACAAGAAAAGGGGTTAGAAGAGAGGACGAAGGAAACAAATAACAATGATACAAACAATTTGAAGGAAGATACGAATGAGAATAATATTAACAATTCGAGGAACAAAATAAGATAACAATTACCAATAGAAGCGAAGGAAGAACCAAGGAAGCGAGAAGCGAGACAAAGAAAGATACCTAAAAAGTTTGATGATTATAAACTTAATTGAAAGAGAAGGGGATGTTATATATATGTATAGTTAAGTTAGTTATTTTAGTTTTAAGAGTTTAGGTTGGCAATAAAAACACGTTAGATGTTAGAGAATGACATGTAGTAACTTGTAAGAAGCCAAGCTGTTTTATCTAATAAATATAAAGTATAAAAAAAGTATAACGCCTAAAAGTTTAAATTTCGTCTGTTTCATTATTGTTCACAGTGATTGTGAATATGATCATCTGTTCTTGAACGGGAATTATAACGTGTGCTATTACACGAGTTACATCCATCTCGTACAGCTGATATTGTAAACACTCACGTCCAGAGTCACTATGTCAAGAATTATACGTTATAGTGTAATATAAATCTAATCGACCTGGAATCTCTTATTTGCGTTACTTGCGCAAGGAATATCGGTTTCACATCCACGTACGTGATTAATGTCTACAACCTTAGAGGCTTCTCTTCACATTAACTTTCAGTAACATGACAAAGCTTTATCCGCAAAGTAATATGGTGTTATTTTGTAAACAGATATACGCACTTTAATATCTCCATGACGTTACAGTAAATCATTCTGTGGTGTTCTGTGGCAACTTGTCAATGGCTTGTTGGTATAAATTTCTTACTGCCTTTATTATAGCCGCATTGATGTTTGTTCATCCCACTGCTTCCCATAACTTGCTGTCATACGCTGTTTTAAGTCTATAAACACTAGAGATATTTCGGTAACCTTGCAGTACGGTTATGTAGTACTTTGCCCATTCGAGATGGTTTCGTTGTGAAAAAGCTCGAGTACTACGTGATCAAGTATCAGCTAGACCATCCAGGTAGACCATCTGGAAGGAGTGTAGAACACAATCAATTTTGTCATGAAACAATACATGGCCAACATCAGTTATTTCTCGTCGAGTTCTTCAGTTTTCATCAGCTAATATCGACATTTTCGCAAATGTTGCAGTTTTGATATTAATGTAACTTATTGTGGTAATTCAAATTAAAGCTAAAAGTGTTCTTTTTTAAATAATATACAGGCTGTCCCGAAACTCAACGTCGAGCGGGCACTGGGTGAAAGGCAAACTCATACCTGTTCTGGTAAAAATAAGAAAAAAATTCTCTTAAAAAAGTCTCTTAGTTAAGTGGTAATAGACATATTTTTGAAAATGTTAAAAATCGTTCCCTTACATCATATCTTTAGATACTACGGTCAGAAATGTTCGCAATTTAATAGTTATTTTTTTAATAATGTATTCCTTATGAACCATGCTGCTATAGCAATCACAAATCGAACAACAAAACTCGTTAGTTTTGCAAAAAAAAAGTATTAGTTTGATTGAGTTAAGGTTGAAAGAATTTATGTCTATTAAGTTTGACACACGATTTCTAAACAAAGGAGTAGTACAACACCCTTTGCAAGTTATTTTAAAAGATGGCCTGTTTAGTCAAGATTCCAAAATGGTATAACACCTGCCATTTTTCTTTTCCTAAAAAATATTATTGCCTGTTTTTTCTGCAAAAAAACGCGTTATTTAAAAAATTCATACTTTCGTATGTTATTTGTATTTCCTCCAAAACGATTTAACAACTTTCTTAGAAGATGTTCCACTCAATATCTACAGAGAAATGTGGTTTCAACAAGATGGTTGCTCAGCTCATTATGTTTGTCCTGTACGGGATTGCATACAGAATACCCAGAAAGATGGATTGGGCGTCGTGGTTCGATTACGTGACCTCCTCATTCTCTGGGTCTAAATCCCCTTGATTTTCTTATTAGGATTGCATAAAAGAAACAGTGTATTAAAAACCGATTGAAAATCTTGCCGAACTGCGCCACAATATTTATACAGCAGCAGAAGAAATAAATGCAAAGAGATTTGCACAACTAGTAAAAAGATCTTTTCTGTGACGATACGAGAGCTTGTATTAGTGCCGACGACAAATAATTTGAGCATTTGCCTTAGTTTTAAGAAAATAATGCTATAAAATTGATAACAAATAAATTTATTTGTTTAATTTTGTCTTTAAGTTAACCTTATTTGAAAGAGTCTTTTTGCAAGACATAAGGGCAACCATCTTGTTGAAACCACATTTTGTAGTTCGTAGATATTGACTGGCACATCTTTTAACAAAGTTAAGAGAAAATAAAAAGTAAATACAGATAACATACAAAAGTATGAATTTTTTAAATAACGTGTTTTTTGCAGAAAAACAGGACATAATATTTTTTATGACAAGAACAATGGCAAGTGTTGTACCATTTTGGAAACTTCCAAAAGCAAAACTTCCAGGCCATCTTTTAAAATTACTTGCCAATTGTGTTGTACTACTCCTTTTTTTAGAAATCGTGTGTCAAACTTGATAGACATAAATTATTCTTTCAACCTGAACTCAATCAAATTAATATATTTTTTTGCAAAACTAACGACTTTTGTTGTTTGATTTGTGACTTCTACAGTATCATGGTTCACAAGGAATACATTATTAAAAAAATCACTATTAAATTGCGAACATTTCTGACCGTAGTATACTGTAATAAAATCCCTGTTTCCGAAGAAACAGAAAAAAGACTAATTAAATTTAAGAAATTTACTATATTGGATTAGACTATAAGTAGTTAGTTTTGTTATGATTTTTCGTTTAGTTTTAAGAAAAATTAGGACGATGTGCAAGAAAAAGGTAATTCATTGAAGTGTATGACCTTCAAATTGTGACCTTGACATTTACATTTTGACAGGTATTGATTTTGGCGACTTTTCAGACGATTTTCGATTCTAAAACCATGCGAGATCGATAGATCGTGTCGATTTAGCCCTTAGGCCGCAATTTCATCCATTTCTGAATCATTTTATATATTTAAATTCCATTTTTTTTTCTTTCCCAACTTTAACATCAAATTACGAATTTCTCGAAGGAATTTGACACCCGAAAGCGCGATTATCTAAAAGAACGAAAAATTAGCTACAAAATTACAAAATCTTAATCAAATTTAAAGTTTATTAATAATTTCGAATATTTTCAAAGTTGATAGTTATTTTCTTTAAAAAATTCAATCATTTTGGCTAACCTGTGTAATTTATAATTCCCGCCATTTTATCAACCAATCAGAGAGCCCAGATTCAAACTGAGGCGATCAAATTCGGATATCCAAGAAGCCTTTGTCCAAAAAGAGTATATAAGGCCGCGCAAATTTGACACCGGGAGAGTTCAATTCTGGTTAGAGCGAAGCGTTGTCGAATCTACGTCAATTTAACCTAAAAATTTCTAACCTAAGTTTGAACTTAGAATTTTTTTTTGACAACTCAATTTACTTTTATCTAGTGAAAGTAAACAAGTGTTTCTAAATTATCTTCGAAGAAATCGAAACCATACCTGAGATCGAGTCCAATGTTCCATCCTGTTCCCGAAGGACCTGAGAACTAAATTTCCCGAGAATCCTAAACTTCTAACACCGAAGAACATCCATCCCGCAAGACCAAGGTCAACCAACCATTTTTAACTGACTTGTCACACCTCCGGAAACAAGTTTAGTGAACATAATTTCCTTTTATCGAACTCTTTAATTTTTATAACCCTCGCGATTAAAATAAAAAAAAAAATCAATCTTAAAAGACCCTTAAAAATTAACGCGTATAAGCTTTGTAAATTTCAACACTCTTATAAAGGAGTTACCTCTTTCTTGCACAGATTTTTTTATGCTCTATTTTATATTTAGTTCGTAAATTTAAAAATTTAGTTATAGATCCATGAACTTGCGTTTTATTCTTTTTTTTGTCCCTGAGATTCTTGTTCTTTAATTTAACAAAAAAGATGTATTTTTTTTCGTTGTTATCCAATTAAATAATTGTTATATGTTTTATGTGTGATTTATTTGTAAAAGATTTGGTTTATATAATTAATTTAAATCGAACAAAATAAAATAATACAGTACCTAAAGATATGATGTACGGGACCGATTTTTAACATTTTCAAAAGTATGTCTATTACCACTTAACTAAGAGACATGGAATTTTGTTCTCATTTTTACCAGAACAGGTATGGGTTGGCCTCTCACCCGGCGCCCGCTTGACATTGCGTTTCGGGACACTCTGTATAATCCTTATTATTTTATATTGAGATTCCCTATGGTTTTTTAAGGTTGAGTGTTTTTTTTTGGATGAAGTCGCAAAACATTTGATACATTTTCATTTTATTCGTTTTCTTTAAAAAATTCTCTTCATGGGTTGATTTAAAAAGGTTGTATTTCTCATTAACGCTTGTGAAACGGCTAAAATTCAATGAACACACTTCATTTACGAAAAGCGCTACGTCGCGCGTCGTCGTCCGTAAGCTTTCACAAAAAAATCATCGCAGCCTCATCGTGGCCCTTTTAGCCGCCGGTAAAACTCGAACCCCGTTTCATCGTTTGATTATGTCCCTTGAGGATGGCTTCATTTTAAATTTAGACGGCATTCTGTTGCTGTTTGGCCAAGCTGTAAATAAATTTTTGAAAAGGGTGCAGCACTACACTTCGCTTCTTCGTCCTCTCTATTCCCATAAATGTGAATCGTAAAATTATAAATACTTGAAAATTTCTATAGTCAGCGACTAAGTAAGTTTCTTGTAACATGAACAATTTTATATTAATTTATAAGAAATATACGTTTAATAATAAAACAATAATATTTAAATTTAGTCGTTCTTTATTCTTAGATATTTCTTAAACCTTTTAAGGGTAAAAGGAAATGAAGGTAATGCAACTGCATGCATATTCATGACTGTTAATGGGTATCATAAGGTCATGCATATTTATTCGGGTAGCTTGTATTGAAAACAGACCAACAAAAATTCCCCTCTTCTCTCTCAACTAAATAGTGACGAAAAAACAATAAATTTAAATTACTGTTTGAACGTAGAATGCGTATTGAAAACACCGATTCAAAAACTAAAAAAAAAGAAACAGAGTGTATATTGGCAACGTGCCGTACTGAAACGTCCAATTTTAGCAATTAATAATCCGAACGATATTTATTTTTATTGCCAGATCATATATTTTATTTGTTCGAGGCTTTTATCCGGACTACACATAAGAGTGTAAAAATACAATTTTTTATTAAAAAATTTGAGAATATCACTTGATCACAGTTTAAAAATTGTAAAGATATAAATTATTTAAAGTAATCATCAGCATTTATTAATTGTTGATATACCGCGATTAATGTTAACCACATCAACGTGACGATTTGTTGAAACTAATAATTTAAAACATATAAATTATCGAATATCGCTGAAATGTGGGCTACACTAGAACGCATACCGCAAACTATTTGTGCAAATCAAATCGCGCTAGGTATTAACAAAGATTTATGCATAATAATAGCCCCTCATCGTTGCATTGTACCAATAACATTACACGCGAATTGCGTAATGAATCGGGTTAAACTAATATATGGGATATTCGTACAAACTGAGAGAAGCTTCAAACTTAAAACAAGTTGGGCTGCAATTAGTTTATGTAGAGGTGAATTAATTTCGGAAGCGGCATAAATCTTGGTACGAAAGAAACCTCCGAGATTCAAAAAGTACTCGACAACTAAAGAGAGAATTCTACCCTCGATTTTGTAGACTTTGGTCGCTATATTTTCCGTTCACGTTCCAAGGAGTACTCCATTAGAGTGTTTGCAAACTTTAATTATTTTTAAATTAAATTGCTGCGGCGTGCCAGAAACTTGCCGCGTTATTTCCAAGAAAGGTTTTAATTATTAAATGATAGTGTATAAAAGATGTAGAAATGAATATACGTATTTATATTAGTAATCTAATATCTTTTCATTTATATATAATCTCTTCATTTTACGTAAAAATGAACCAAATGAAAGTTGTTCTGTGCAAAGTGGGAAACCGCATGACGATAACATCTTTTTTAAGTTATCCATTAATGTTTAAAATAAATAGAATTTTGTGTACTTAGTGATAATAATTTTATTAAAATCTTGATCTGTTTCGGCTCAAACTAAAGAGCCATCCTCAGAAGAATTCACCTAAATAATTACAGCAAAAATTAACAAACTGCAAAGTGGAAGTAGTACTTTTGCTTACATCAATAAGAAAAATATTTGGTAAAATTTGTATATGTCATGATATAAAATTTCGTGTATAATAAACTATAACAATAAAATCACAATAAATACGAAATAAAACTTAAAACATACAACAAAATTGACAGACACGTGTTTGACCAGTACAAGTTAAAAAAATCAAATATAAAGCTAAATATAAGGCTACATATCTAGCCTATGAAGAAATCTTTAACATTGTAAACATTTAACATTTTGTAACATTATTTGTAGGAACAAATAATTTATTTGTATCAATAGATTTTGACATTAGATGAAAGGTAATGTAAGCATCGGTAGAAACTATCCGTAGGGTCTAAATGGATTTTTTAAAGTTTCGTATAAGGTACGGGAGGGTAATAAGGCCCACTTAAAATTATTTTGCATTTTATTTCAAAACTAATAGTTTGCTGTGGAAACATTTTTGACTAATATAAACTTGGATATATTCTGAGAAGGTAATTAAATTTAATATTCTTAGTATTATACTTTTGAAACTGGTTTTATTATTTATTTAAGTAAGTCTTACTAGTTTCGGCCCATGGCCATCTTCAGAGACTATACAATGAGGTTAACAATCGGTCAATTTAATTATTTAACAAAAGGTCTTGAAATTTGATATGAAAGTCGAATTAAATTTATAAAAAATACAACAAACAAATATAAAAAATCATATAAAAATATAAAAGTGTACTTACGTTGAAAACCTTACGAGAAAAATCATCCAGACTTCAAAGCAAGACTTTTAAGGAAATTTTAAAAACCCCCGATTTTACGCAGAAAAAAACGTCGACCAAAAGAAGAAAGGCCATCGATTATAACTCACAGCATATAATGAGAAGTTTATTTAACAAAGAGAATAATCGCGAAACCAAATAAAAAAGGTGACGGTGTATCATGGTATTGTTTCCTTTGTGACACGAATAGACATTTAAATAAAATAAAATATGCACGGATACACGAAGAGTGTGTTGGTTTTGTTTCAAATGATGAAGAACAGTTTATTTGTCCACGGTGTGAAAATTAAGTAATTTTATATACAGGCTTTATTTTTCGCGTTTTCTGAAAATACAGCCCAGTGTCGCTTTTTTATAAATCTTATTATTTTATCTTTTGAGTTTAATAAATACCTTATTTTATTACCTTATATTTAAGAGAATATGTCCAGATAATTATAGTTAAAATCCATTATACCAGTTGTTTGATACGTGAGAAGGTAATTAAATTTAATATTCTTAGTATTGTACTTTTGAAACTGGTTTTATTATTTATTTAATTAAGTCTTACTAGTTTCGGCCCATGGCCATCTTCAGAGACTCTACAATGAGGTTAACAATCGGTCAATTTAATTATTTAACGAAAGGTCTTGGAATTTGATATGAAAGTCGAATTAAGGTAGGTGTAGGGGAGGGAGGTGAGTGTTGGCCGCTGGGACCCCAAAAAGTGCGAATAATGCACGCGGTCCAGATGTATTAATCCTCTATATTTTGGGGAAAGGGGTGGAGAAGGAGTTTATAGAGTGGAGTTTTAGAACTGTAGATCTGCTCGTTAAGGCATTCAATTTGGGGATTCTTAAATTTAAACTTGTCCATCTCGTATTGTTCTAAAAGGTTTAATTTGAAACCTTTGTTATGTGCATGTAATAATGAAACATTTTGCGGTATGTCAAAATCATGTTTGGAATAAAGCATGTGTCTGCCGAAATTGGAATTATCGTTGTGCTGGTGCTCTCTAATTCTGGTTTTTAAGGATCTACCAGTTTCTCCTATGTAGGTAGCACTACAAGTATTACATTGTAGTTTATATACCCCACTTTGATCTAACAAACCTATTTTGTCTTTGGCATTGAAAAGCTTTTGTTTTATGGTGTTGTTATTTTTAAATGAAATATCGATATTATAATTTTTAAAAATCCTTTTTATGTTATAACTAATGTTGCTGAAAAATTTATAGATCTATAAATGTTATTGTTGGTAGTTTCGTTATGTGTTATACTTTGTAAAGTTGTAGATGAATTGAGATTGTGTTTCAATTGTAATTCACTAATGAATGAATCAATTTGATCATTG